CAGCCAGCCAATCAGAGCTCAGAGCCTCCAACCAATCAAACACAACTAAAGTACAATATCTGAGTACTTTTACTTTGACTAAAGTACAAGATCTGAGTACTTTTACTTTGACTAAAGTACAAGATCTGAGTACTTCTACTTTGACTAAAGTACAAGACCTGAGTACTTCTAGTTTCCCAGGTGTAAACAGGTGACCCACCTGAGCGTCAAACAGCTGTCGGTACACCTTCCCGCTCGGAACCGCTCTGCTCTCACACATCCTGCCGGTATCTACCGGGAATATACCGGGAATATACCGGGAATATACCGGGAATATACCGGGAATATACCGGGAATATACCGTGTGTTTCTCGCTGAACCTGTTCCCCAGTTAATGTGTTTCTCTGTTCTGATCTCTCCGCCAGTCTATTAACAGCCGGTAAACTCCGTGTCTTTTCTCCGGTAAACTCCGTGTCTTTTCTCCGGTAAACTCCGTGTCTTTTCTCCGGTAAACTCCGTGTCTTTTCTCCGGTAAACTCCGTGTCTTTTCTCCGGTAGACTCCGTGTGTTTTCTCCGGTAAACTCCTTGTGTTTTCTCCGGTAAACTCCTTGTGTTTTCTCCGGTAAACTCCTTGTGTTTTCTCCGGTAAAGTCCGTGTCTTTTCCCCGGTAAACTCCTTGTGTTTTCTCCGGTAAACTCCTTGTGTTTTCTCCGGTAAAGTCCGTGTCTTTTCTCCGGTAGACTCCGTGTCTTTTCTCCGGTAAACTCCGTGTCTTTTCTCCGGTAAACTCCGTGTCTTTTCTCCGGTAGACTCCGTGTCTTTTCTCCGGTAAACTCCGTGTCTTTTCTCCGGTAGACTCCGTGTCTTTTCTCCGGTAGACTCCGTGTCTTTTCTCCGGTAAAGTCCGTGTCTTTTCTCCGGTAAACTCCTTGTGTTTTCTCCGGTAAACTCCTTGTGTTTTCTCCGGTAGACTCGTCGGAGCGTCCAGCCGGTTTGTGTGTCTCTGCGTCACCATGGCAACGCGCCTTCAGAAGTCCATGAGGCGTTCACTGTCCGCTGAGAACAATCGTACATTTCTCTGCAAGTCTTTATAAATACAGTCTGTATATCTTTATAAATACAGACTCAAGTCAGCTTCATTCTCAAGTATTCCACACGTGTTATACATACAGAACATTAGAAATACCGTTTCTCGCTGTCACACAGTGTGACATATACACATATAACAAGATACAAAAAGGGCCTAGATAAAAGGGGTATAAAAACTAAAGAGTAGTAATAAGTACGTATAAGTACTAGGTAATACATATATTTAAAACCAAAAACACAATCAACAGAAACATGAATGTGACATTAGTGCAACGTATTCCTTGGAGCAAAATAACGATGTTGAAGTACAGTTACAGTGCAGTAGCAGCGGAGAGGAGTAGAGAGTGACTGGTGCTGGATGAGGGAAGGGTGTGTGTGTGTGTGTGTGTGTGTGTGTGTGTGTGTGTGTGTGTGTGTGTGTGTGTGTGTGTGTGGGGGTTAAAGTCCAGGGGGCAGGGGGGAAAGGTGGGAGGCAGGGTGGAGAGGTCAGGGGAGAGAAGGGAGAGAGGGAGAGGAGGGTTTTCTGCGCAGGTGTGCTGTTCTCTGCTTCAAAGTGTGCAAAGAAGCCGTTGAGGTTGTTCAGCAGAGGTGAGACTGTCGCAGGTCTGTGGTGGAGGATTGTAGTCCGTGATGGTCCTGATGCCCTGCCACAGGCTGCATGAGTCCCTGCTATCTATCAAATGTCCTGTAATTTTCCTGGTGTATTCTTGTTTTGCTTTCCTGATGCCATGGGACAGGTCGGCCCTGGCTGCTCTGAGACCAGCTGGATTGCCCTCTCTAAAGGCAGCGGGCCCTCAGCAGCCCGTGGACCTCTCCTGTCAGCCATGGCTTCTGGTTGGCCCTGATGGTGATGGATCTGATGTGGGTCACATCGTCAATGCATTTGGTGATGTAGCCCGTGACTGTCTCTGTGTATTACTGTATGTTGGTGTGATGGTTGTATGTGGCTGCCTGCTTGAACATGTCCCAGTCTGTAGTGTCAAAGCAGTCTCTGAGTGCAGCTGTGCTGTCCTCTGACCACACCCGAACCTGTTTGGAAACCGGTTTGGTGGCTTTTACCCTGCGTCTGTAGGCCGGTTCCAGCAGAACAGTGAGGTGGAGGCCGATGTGGGGGAGGGGGGACGCCTTGTATGCTCCCTTGATGTTGGTATAGACCAGGTCTAATGTGTTGTTTTCCCTGGCTGGAAAAACAACATGCTGATATATGTGAGGCAGCCCAGTTTTTAAGTTAGCGTGGTTGAGGTCTCCAGCTACGATGAGAAGGCCGTGTGGGTGTGCTGTCTGCTGATCACTGATGGCTCGGTACAGTTCGCTGAGTGCCTCCTCTCTACCCTTGTTGCTGGGGTTTGGGGGGATATAAACAGCCACCAGGAGAATCTCTTTAACTCCCTCGGCGGGTAAAAAGGACGGCACTTTAGAACCATGAACTCCACCATGTGGTGAACAGGGTTAGCTAACAACGTCTCCACACCGAGCAGCACTGATGTACATCTATATAAATACAGACTGTATATCTTTATAAATACAGACTGTATATCTTTATAAATACAGACTGTATATCTTTATAAATACAGACTGTATATCTATATAAATACAGACTGCCGTGGTTAAGCCACTACTTAAAAAGAAAAATCTCGACCCCTCCATTCTCGCAAATTTTAGGCCCATCTCCCAGCTACCTCTTTTATCAAAAGCCCTGGAGCGAGTAGTCTACGCCCAGCTGCAGTCTTTTTTAACCATCCATGGAATCCATGAAAAGTTCCAGTCTGGCTTCAAACCCATGCACAGCACTGAAACAGCCCTTTTAAGAGTTTTTAATGATCTGCTCCTAGCCGCCGACTCAGGTAGCCCAGCTGTCTTGGTGCTGTTAGACCTAACAGCTGCCTTTGACACTGTGGACCATAGCATCCTGTTGTCACGGCTTGAACAGTCCGCTGGCATCACAGGCTCTGCCCTTGCATGGTTCAGGTCCTACCTGACAGACCGTAGCTTCTCGGTACAGCTAGGTGCCTTCTCCTCTGCCAAAGCCCCTCTTACCTGTGGGGTTCCCCAAGGCTCGATTCTGGGCCCCATCATTTTTCTACTGTACATACTGCCCCTAGGTTCAATTCTCACTAAACACAATATTCCCTTCCACTGCTACGCCGATGATGTACAGATCTATCTGCCTCTCAAAGCAAATGTCAAACACTCACTACAGCAGCTGATGGACTGCTTAACAGAGATAAAATCCTGGCTGAGCAAAAACTTCCTCAACCTCAACGAGAGCAAGACTGAGGTCATCCTTTTTGGACCGCAACCTCCAGCCTCTCCGGTTGATATTCTGGGGTCTCTCAATAAAAACATCCTCCCCTCGGTCATGAACCTTGGAGTGACCTTCACTAGCACTTTTAAATTTGATAAGCAGGTCAGCACCGTAGTCAAGACCTGCTTTTTTTAAATACGACTATTGGCCAAAACCAAGTCGTATTTATCTTTTAATGACTTAGAAAGGGTTATTAACGCCTTTGTTACCTCAAGACTGGACTATTGCAACGCTCTGTATGTGGGTATGGACCAGGCCTCAATTAAACGCCTGCAGCTAGTCCAGAACGCAGCTGCACGTCTTCTGACTGGCCACAAAAAGTGCGACCACATCACCCCTATTCTGGCCTCACTACACTGGCTTCCAGTTCGGTTCAGAATTGATTTTAAAATCCTTTTATTTGTTTTCAAAGCACTAAATGGGCTGGCTCCGGCCTATATAGCTGAACTCCTCCAGCGCTACACCCCAGCCAGAGCTTTAAGGTCTGCTGACCAGCTGCTGCTGGTAGTGCCCAAGACCAGGCTCAAAACCCGAGGGCACCGAGCCTTCTCAGCAGCTGGCCCTAGGCTCTGGAACACTCTGCCCCTCCATGTGAGGTCGGCCCAGACCCTAGGGGTTTTAAATCCACTCTAAAAACTCACTTCTTCTCTCTGGCCTTCTAGCCTTCTCTTATCAAGCTCAACTTTTGTGGAATCAGCTTCCAGTTTGTGTTCGGGCGGCCGACAGCCTATCCGTTTTAAGAGTACGCTTACGACCTTCCTTTTTGATAAAGCTTATAGCTGATATAATAATCTAATGAGAGTGCATTGACGTAGATACGCTGTGCCTCTTCACCTACCTTTTGATTCTTGCTCTTTCACTTAAATCCTAAAAACTTGGATCTTATATTTAAAACTAAGGTTATTACTACTACTCATTCTTCTAAATCTTGTCTCTCTCTACTTCTCATACTCTCTACTCCTGTAATCGATTCTTTCTATCCTCTCTTTATTAACTTTCATGAACTCCTCCAAAAACTATAGTTTATTTAATAATAAATGAATATGTGAATCATAACAGTGAATGACAGCTGATAGGAATAATATGATTGTTAATAATATCATATTCATTCAGACAAACATCGATGAGACAGTTAATGAATGTACCTATAGCAGCAGTCTGCATAGATGTGGTTCCCCTGCTGGTCTAAGAGTGAAACAAACTCATTCAGTTATTGTTCAGTTAAAATGCATTAAATGATGTCTGCCACCTTATATATTTATATTTAAGGCTTTACTGATGTGCCACAATAATGTCACCTAATGTTATTGAGTTAAAATATTAATATTGTGGCTTTCCAAGTTAACATTGATTGATATGACTGCGATTAAATCAGCATATACTTCTGCCAGGGGATGCCACCGCTCAGAATCTCCTGCCACCCCATGAATATGTGTCTAGATCCGCCCCTGGTCCTGTGCACTGTAAAGCACTTTCTACATCCGTGTTGAGAAGGGTGCTCTATAAATACAGTGTTACTTACTTACTTACCTTCTTCCTTGTAGCTCACTATTTCCCATGACCTGTGCTCACACGCCAGCACACCAGGGGGCGGTAATGTACCCCCCCCCCCCATTAAACAAGAAGAAGCGGAAGAGGAGGGACCACGTGGTGTCTCGTCGGGTTTGTGTTCGTGAGAAAGTGTGTGTGACCAGCTGATCATCGTGTGTGTGTGTGTGCGCTCTGATCATCGTGTGTGTGTGTGTGAGCTCTGATCGTCGTGTGTGTGTGTGTGTGCTCTGATCATCGTGTGTGTGTGTGTGTGTGTGTGTGTGTGTGTGTGTGTGTGTGTGTGTGTGTGTGTGTGTGTGTGTGTGTGTGTGTGTGTGTGTGTGTGTGTGTGTGTGTGTGTGTGTGTGTGTGTGTGTGTGTGTGTGTGTGTGTGTGTGTGTGTGTGTGTGTGTGTGTGTGTGTGTGTGAACATGAGTGCCGTGCTGCTCTCGCTGGTGAAGCAGCGCCTCTCTGCAGCAGCTGAGGACGTCTTTGTTCTGTTTGAGAGAGCGATATCAGAGTACGAGGAGGAGCTCTCTCGATCCAGACAGGAGCTCGAGAGACACCGGAAGCTGCTGTCCGAGGCGCTCCAGCCTCAGCTCCAGGTCCACAGAGCAGGTCTGTCCCCTCTCTCTCTGCTGCTGCTCTTCTTTTAGGTCTCTGTGACACAGAAACCCCCAGCCCCATTTCCTCGCTAGCAAACGCCTTTTAAAGTCTATCTTCACATATTCAGCATGCTTCCTTCTTCTGTATGCATACTTTACTCATCACTCACCTTTTAAACTATATTTTAGCTTTACTGTCCTACACTGGAATGATTTACCACCTGTTATTATTTATATTGTTGTTTTTGTATTACTATAATAACATTAACAATGTGTGCCTTGGAAATGTTTGTTTACTTTAATGTTGACCAAACCGTTTGAGACCCACTGAACTGTAGTTATCAGAGCCTCTCAGTCTGAGCTGTAGTTATCAGAGCCTCTCAGTCTGAGCTGTAGTTATTAGAGCCTCTCAGTCTGAGCTGTAGTTATCAGAGCCTCTCAGTCTGAGCTGTAGTTATCAGAGCCTCTCAGTCTGAGCTGTAGTTATCAGAGCCTCTCAGTCTGAGCTGTAGTTATCAGAGCCTCTCAGTCTGAGCTGTAGTTATCAGAGCCTCTCAGTCTGAGCTGTAGTTATCAGAGCCTTTCAGTCTGAGCTGTAGTTATCAGAGCATCTCAGTCTGAGCTGTAGTTATCAGAGCCTCTCAGTCTGAGCTGTAGTTATCAGAGTCTCTCGGTCTGAGCTGTAGTTATCAGAGCCTCTCAGTCTGAGCTGTAGTTATCAGCCTCTCAGTCTGAGCTGTAGTTATCAGAGCCTCTCAGTCTGAGCTGTAGTTATCAGAGCCTCTCAATCTGAGCTGTAGTTATCAGAGCCTCTCAATCTGAGCTGTAGTTTTCAGAGCCTCTCAGTCTGAGCTGTAGTTATCAGGGCCTCTCAGTCATCTCTCTCAGTCTGAGCTGTAGTTACCAGAGCCTCTCAATCTGAGCTGTAGTTTTCAGAGCCTCTCAGTCTGAGCTGTAGTTATCAGGGCCTCTCAGTCATCTCTCTCAGTCTGAGCTGTAGTTATCAGAGCCTCTCAATCTGAGCTGTAGTTTTCAGAGCCTCTCAGTCTGAGCTGTAGGTATCAGAGCCTCTCAGTCTGAGCTGTAGGTATCAGAGCCTCTCAGTCTGAGCTGTAGTTATCTCTCTCAGTCTGAGCTGTAGTTATCAGGGCCTCTCAGTCTGAGCTGTAGTTATCAGAGCCTCTCAGTCTGAGCTGTAGTTATCAGCCTCTCAGTCTGAGCTGTAGATATCAGAGCCTCTCAGTCTGAGCTGTAGTTATCAGGTTAAAGGTTAAAGGTTAAACCCCGTATTATTATTAAGAGACACATAAAACATTTTGTGGAGCAGGGTTTTGTTCATGATCTGTTTGGGTTTGATTGGGGAAAAATCGATCTGTGTGCTGATGTTGAAACTGCATGGTCTTATTTTTATCTTGGTTTTATGGAAATTGTAGATAGACATGCACCCCTACGTACTTTTAGAGTAAAGGGACGAGACACTCCTTGGTTTCCTGCTGAACTGTCCAGTCTCCTACATGAGAGAAACAAGGCCTGGGCAAAGGCTAGGAAATCAGGCTCAGAGGTAGAATGGCTGCGTTTTAGGCAGCTAAGAAATAGCTTCACTTCACAGGTCAAAAGTGCTAAGTCTAAGTACTATTTGTCAGTTACTACAGAAAACCTAAATAATCCTAGGAAATTTTGGAAAGCCATAAAATCGCTATCCACCGGTGAGATCCGTAATGAGCTACCTCCGTGCATTACCACAGCATCTGGCTCTATATCGGACAGGGCTACTATGTTAAATTGTTTTAATGAGCATTTTGTGTCCTGTGGCTCTCTGTTTGATTCTGTGACTAACTCTGCTTCTGTGAACACCACAGTCTGTGACTCTGAAAAACGTGTTTTGGAAAACCCTTTCAGTTTTACTCCTTTTACTGTAAATGTTGTTCATGAAGCTTTAACCAAGTTAGATCCTAAGAAACCGGCCGGCCCGGACAACGTAGAGCCTTTCTTTTTAAAGATAGCCACCTCTCACTACTCTTTTTAACCTCTCCCTCAGCACAAACACAATTCCAAAACTGTGGAAGTCAGCGTATGTCCTGCCTTTGCTGAAAGGAGGGGAGGCAACTGTTTTAAATAATTATAGGCCAATCTCTAAATGGTCAGTTCTGGCTAAGGTTCTTGAACGCCTAGTGAGTGAGCAGGTAAAGGTGTTTCTATGTAAACATGACATCCTGTCTAAACATCAGTCAGGCTTCAGAAAGCAACATAGCACCATCACTGCCACAATGAAAGTGGTGAATGACATTACAAGTATCTTAGATAATAAGCAGAGCTGTGCAGCTCTATTTATTGATCTTTCCAAAGCGTTTGATACCGTCGATCATCGCATCTTAAAGCAGAGGCTACTCAGTATTGGCTTATCCAGCCATGCAGTGGGGTGGTTTGTGACTCTCTGAAAGGTCCCAATGTGTTCACTTTGATGGGCTGTCTTCTGAGTGGTTAAACATTACTAATGGTGTTCCTCAAGGTTCTGTTTCAGGTCCACTTTTATTCTCCATCTACATCAATAGTTTAGGTGAAAATGTCGATGGAGCAACCTTACATTTTTATGCGGATGACACCGTGATGTACTGTGCAGGTCCCTCCATTAAGGAGGCTGTTGTTGAATTGCAAACTGCTTTTGACATTATTCAGACTCAGCTCTCTGAACTAAAGCTTCTTTTAAATGTTGATAAAACCAAGGTAATGCTCTTTTCAAAAGCTGAAAAGACACCAGAGACTGTTTTAGATATTTTAACTACGCAAGGAAAAGTACTCGAAGTGGTTACCTGTTACAAATACCTAGGTATCTGGCTTGATGACTGTCTCACTTTTAAACGTCATGTCAATAACCTGCTTAACAAACTGAGGGTTAGACTAGGTTTCTTCTACAGGAACAAGTCCTGTTTCTGGCTTGAGACCAGGAAAAGGCTCTGTGACCTTTTGACCTGTGCTGGACTATGGTGATCTGGTCTATATGAATGCACCTGCCCATTGCCTGGTCAAGTTAGATGCTGCGTATCACAGTGCACTGAGATTTGTGGCAAACTGTAAAGCATTAACCCATCACTGTACCCTGTATGCAAGGGCTGGTCTGCCTTCACTAACTGTACGGAGGCTCAGTCACTGGTACATTTTTATATATAAAGCCATGTTAGGGAAACTTCCATCCTACATCTGCTCCCTGATCTCACGGCGAATTGTAAGTGGCTACTGCCTGAGATGCTGTGGTTTTATTAAATGTGCCAACTGCTAGGACTGTCTTAGGGAAAATAGCATTTAGATGTGCAGCTCCTCTGTCTTGGAACAGTCTGCAATTAAAATGGAAACTGAGCAATCTGGTGCCACTAAATGTTTTTAAAGCTCGGTTGGATGCTACTCGGAAGCTACTCGGAAGCTGTTGGTACCTGTGCATGTGGATAGTATGTAATTTGTAATCCCTGTAATGCTACTGTATGATGTCCTTTTGTTGTTCTGTTTATGTTTTTAATGTTTCATGTGGAACCTACTTGAGCAGGTCTCCCTTGAAAAAGAGGTCAATGATCTCAATGGGATACAACCTGGATAAATAAAGGTTTGAAATGAAATGAAAATCAGAGCCTCTCAGTCTGAGCTGTAGTTATCTCTCTCAGTCTGAGCTGTAGTTATCAGAGCCTCTCAGTGTGAGCTGTAGTTATCAGAGCCTCTCAGTGTGAGCTGTAGTTATCAGAGCCTCTCAGTCTGAGCTGTAGTTATCAGAGCCTCTCAATCTGAGCTGTAGTTATCAGAGCCTCTCAATCTGAGCTGTAGTTATCAGAGCCTCTCAGTCTGAGCTGTAGTTATCAGAGCCTCTCAGTCTGAGCTGTAGTTATCAGAGCCTCTCAGTCTGAGCTGTAGTTATCAGAGCCTCTCAGTCTGAGCTGTAGTTATCAGAGCCTCTCAGTCTGAGCTGTAGTTATCAGAGCCTCTCAGTCTGAGCTGTAGTTATCAGAGCCTCTCAATCTGAGCTGTAGTTTTCAGGGCCTCTCAGTCTGAGCTGTAGTTATCAGAGCCTCTCAATCTGAGCTGTAGTTATCAGAGCCTCTCAGTCTGAGCTGTAGTTATCAGAGCCTCTCAGTCTGAGCTGTAGTTATCAGGGCCTCTCAGTCTGAGCTGTAGTTATCAGAGCCTCTCAGTCTGAGCTGTAGTTATCAGAGCATCTCAGTCTGAGCTGTAGTTATCAGAGCCTCTCAGTCTGAGCTGTAGTTATCAGAGCCTCTCAGTCTGAGCTGTAGTTATCAGAGACTTTCAGTCTGAGCTGTAGTTATCTCTCTCAGTCTGAGCTGTAGTTATCAGGGCCTCTCAGTCTGAGCTGTAGTTATCAGAGCCTCTCAGTCTGAGCTGTAGTTATCAGAGCCTCTCAGTCTGAGCTTTAGTTATTTCTCTCAGTCTGAGCTGTAGTTATCAGAGCCTCTCAGTCTGAGCTTTAGTTATTTCTCTCAGTCTGAGCTGTAGTTATCAGAGCCTCTCAGTCTGTGCAACAGACACAATAACCAAGAAACTTCCTTTATAAAAAGAAAACACTGAGGAAACATTTAACTGCTCTATCAATACTTCTACTTTAGAGGTTGAAGTACACTTTTCTGATAATACTTGCATACTTTTACTTAAATAAGGTCTGAATGCAGGACTTTAACTACTAGAGGAGCATTTCCATCCTATAGGCGCAGAGTAGCTGTGATTGATCCCCAAAAGAATTCATAGTTTACAATCTGGCTGAACTGGAAGAGGTATGCAAGTATATAAACAAAGGCATTGATTAGGGCTGCAACACTACTCAACTTGTAAAGGTGATTAGTTTCACAGTTTTTCTGACTGTGCTTCCTGTTTCCTGCAGACGTCCAGCAGCTGGTGGTTAAAGAAGAGGTTCCCCCTGAGCAGCAGGAGTGGAGCTCCAGTCTGGACCAGGAGGACCCAGAGCCCCCCCCACACATTAAAGAGGAACAGGAGGAACTCTGGATCAGTCAGGAGGGAGAGCAGCTTCAAGGGCTGGAGGAGGCTGATATCACCAAGTCCACATTCACTTCTGTCCCTGTGAAGAGTGAAGATGATGAAGAGAAACCTCAGTCCTCTCAGCTTCATCAAAGACAAACTGAACACATGGAAACAGAAGCTGATGGAGAGGACTGTGGAGGACCAGAACCAGCCAGGAACTCAGATCCAGAGAGACATTTACAACCAGAGACTGAGGACAACCCTGGAGACTCTTCTGACGACACTGAAGACAGTGCTAGTTGGAGTGAGACCGGAGAACGTCAGTCAGGTTCAAACTCTCAGGAAGATAAACAAGACCCTGTCAGTGATTCAAGGCGTAGTGCTGGAGAGAAGCGCTATAGATGCTCTCAGTGTGGGAAAAATGTTTCCCGCAAGTCAAGTCTGAATATACACATGAGAATCCACACAGGAGAGAAACCATACAGCTGCTCAGTCTGTATGAAATCTTTTACAAGGAGATCTAGTTTAAACTACCACATGGCAGTTCATACTGGAGAGAAACCATTCAGCTGTTCAGTCTGTGAGAAATCTTTTACAGCGAGATCTAGTTTAAAGACTCACGCGAGAGTTCATACAGGAGAGAAGCCATACAGCTGCTCAGTCTGTAAGAAATATTTTAAATGTAGTGGACATTTAGATTCACACATTAAAACCCATACAGGAGACAAACCATACAGCTGCTCAGTCTGTAAGAAATATTTTACACTAAAGGGACATTTAACAATTCACATGAGAGTTCATACAGGAGAGAAACCATATGGCTGCTCAGTCTGTAAGAAATCATTTACACAGGTTAATAGTTTAACTAAACACATGAGACTTCATACAGGAGAGAAACCAGACAGTTGCTCAGTTGCAAAAAATAATTTACAGTGAGATGTAGATTAACCTGTTCACGAAACTGTGTCTCAGGGCTTCTTAAAATGTAAGAAACTCAGCTAACTGACGATATGAACCATTTTTACCAAAACAAAACACAAGTCTCACAAGAAGCGTCTAAATGAGCCCTGAGCGAAAAAATGCTGACGCACTTAGCACAAAACTCTAGGTATAAATACTTTATTACTTATCGGATCTGCACAAACAAGCTTTGCTAGCAAGCTGAGATTCCACAGATTCTAGAAATATAAGTATCATCACTGAGCGATCAGAACTCGCGACAGGGGAAGCAAATACAGACAACACACGACGTAGCTTTCGGTAGCAAAACACGGAGATATGCTCACCTTAGCTGTTATTCTGATCTAAAGTTGTGTTCAATGGCATTAAAACGAGAAAAACGCGTCTGAAGGTTAATCCATAGGTTAATCCAATGTGTCTGTCACTTTGAATTTTTTTTTGATAAAAAAAATTCAAAAACGGACTTTTCATATTAGCTGCTAATGATAGCTTCCAGAGTGTATGACAGCTTCCTGTTTTGTGTATTCTGGCTACGCGTCACTCTCACTCCTTATTTGGTAACGTGTATGTGTATGTGAGACTTCCCCTCGATTCCATTGGCTCTAACGGTTCAAAAGAGGTGTCAATCATCAAAATCGACCAAGGGGAGCCAGGGAGGTCAAATCCACCCAAATGACCCCAGAAGTGGTTTCTTTTTGCTAAACCTCTCTAAAAAGGTAACATTTCACTTGTTTTGCATCAATCTTGATACAGGGTACTTATTATATGTTATAGGTTGGATTCCTCAAGCTTTTAGTCTACTAACCCATCATTCAAGGGTAGTTTTCACTATAAGTAATTTTTTTTTTGGACGGACACTATAATTTACAAAATAAAAAAATCTATATTGATTCTGACTCTTCTACATCCAACTCACAGGTTTATCATTGCTTTGAGAAAAAAGGTTATTAATTTTCCCCTTTTAGAAGTGAAGATATAGGGTTAGGGGTTAGATAAGGTGCATAGTGAGGGGCCCCCTGGGGACATTCCACAAGATGTGGGACCCCTTCTCCAGGTATATACGGGAGCTGGACATGCCGGATGTCTCTGAACAGGGTGGTGGACCTGCGGTGTTCAAAGTGCTATGTTTTTATTTGGTCTTTTTGTTCCTTTTATACACATTGTTTGATTTCTATTTTTTCCTTACGTTATCAATAATGGACTTAGACTCAGAGCCTTTAGTTTTTGATTTTGTTGTTTTATTTGTCCTGTCTCATTCCTTTTTTGTTATTCTTACTATGATCTGTGTATCAAAGCCTTGCATACCTTCGGTCTCAGAGAGCTGCATTGTTGTCCAAATCTAAATATAATAGACTTTGAAGTACATTTGGGTATCTGTTCATATTTTTTCTTTCGTTTGAATCCATTTTCTCACGTACAAATGTTTAATGTGTAATACATATTGCATTTGCACATCTTTCAATAAAGCAAAGCCTTACTAAAAATGACAAAAAAAGAAGTGAAGATATAGTCATTTGTTCTGGGAACGTCATGTTCGAGCCTGAGACCTGAAAAACAGGCTCGGGGCTCAACAGGTTAAAGATACACATGAGGACGCACACAACCAATCAGCCGCAGTGTTTCAGACTACAGATGGATGACCGAGCTACATCTGATGAGACACGTGATGAGGCCGAAGTGACTGATGATCGGAAAGATTCCCTCAGTCAGTTTTTAAATCTCTAAAGAGTAACAAAGGTCCTGTCAGTGCTGTAAGACGCATCACTAGCAAGCTACCAGTCAGAGCACGGGGGAGGGGAGACCTGGTCATTATGCATTTGGGAAACAGGTGGGGGTGGAGCGCGCAGCCGGTAGGCCTATGGTTTTTTATCATCGGGTTAGAACAGACAGAGAAAAGATTGAGCTTGTATATTGTGCCAGCAAGATAATAAATTGCACAAAAATGACTTTTGCTCTGACCTTTATTTTTACCCATGCGTAAGATTTGCTGACGGCCGCCTCAGCGGCACTTTGCTTTGAGTTATATTTCATTCTTATATTTTTTAGGATTTTGGCCGCTTCAATAACACTTCCCTGTGTTATCAATAGGTTCTTCATTTACTACTGTTTACACCTTGTTCTAGCAGAGTGGCTTCGTCCCCTCAGAGCCTACTGTATATTTCATATATCAGAACTGACCGGGCAGTATTTCCATGTTACTGATACAGTTGCTTCACTTGAGACTTTCTTTAGTTTGATGTCATCCCAACCTCACTTTGGACATGAAAAAGCAACGGCTGAGTTCTTATTGGTAAGTTGTTATAACTATCTAATGTGAGTTTACATATGATGGAACTGTTGTTAATAAAGTGAACTGTTGTTGAAAAGGAAGGACTCCCTGTGCTCACTTTCGTGTGTGTGTGTGTGTGTGTGTGTGTGTGTGTGTGTGTGTGTGTGTGTGTGTGTGGTTTGTGTGTGTGTGTGTGTGTGTGTGTGTGTGTGTGTGTGTGTTGTGTGTGTGTGTGTGTGTGTGTGTGTGTGTGTGTGTGTGTGTGTGTGTGCAAAACCTTGGTGTCGCCAACTCAAAATCTGATTGGTGATCCATTTATTTTAAGCTACAAGAGCCCGCACTGTTGATTCTGAAGTTCTCAGGCAGATGTCTTTGAGATGAAGAGAATAGACTATTGCAAATAATTGACTACATGTTGATGAAAAAACTATATTAATAGGTCAGTCAGGGGAGAGTGATGAGGCCAGCAGAGAAGGCCTTGCTGGCCCTGAGCCCCCACCACTGCCAAAACCAAACTTCTGCTCCAAATGTTGTAGAGAATCCTGCACTACAGAAACACAGAGATACTGTGGAAGCTTTCCACCGCTAACATGCACAGCTAGAGTAACACCAATATGCTCTCTATCGAATACAGTACAGTGAGGGTCACAGTCCTGCAGGAGAGCCCCCAGACGCTCCCTGTGGGGGGTCACAGTCCTGCAGGAGAGCCCCCAGACGCTCCCTGTGGGGGGTCACAGTCCTGCAGGAGAGCCCCCAGACGCTCCCTGTGGGGGGTCACAGTCCTGCAGGAGAGCCCCCAGACGCTCCCTGTGGGGGGTCACAGTCCTGCAGGAGAGCCCCCAGACGCTCCCTGTGGGGGGTCACAGTCCTGCAGGAGAGCCCCCAGACGCTCCCTGTGGGGGGTCACAGTCCTGCAGGAGAGCCCCCAGACGCTCCCTGTGGGGTCACAGTCCTGCAGGAGAGCCCCCAGACGCTCCCTGTGGGGGGTCACAGTCCTGCAGGAGAGCCCCCAGACGCTCCCTGTGGGGGGTCACAGTCCTGCAGGAGAGCCCCCAGACGCTCCCTGTGGGGTCACAGTCCTGCAGGAGAGCCTCCAGACGCTCCCTGTGGGGGGTCACAGTCCTGCAGGAGAGCCTCCAGACGCTCCCTGTGGGGGGTCACAGTCCTGCAGGAGAGCCCCTAGACGCTCCCTGTGGGGGGTCACAGTCCTGCAGGAGAGCCTCCAGACGCTCCCTGTGGGGGGGTCACAGTCCTGCAGGAGAGCCCCCAGACGCTCCCTGTGGGGGGGTCACAGTCCTGCAGGAGAGCCCCCAGACGCTCCACCTCCATGCTGAGAACAACTCCTACATCAATCAATCAATGTTTATAGCCCAATATCACAAACTCAGGACTCAGGATCTAGGACTCAGGACCACAGCAACAGAATCAGCCACGACTCAGGATCCAGGGATCGCGATCCAGGGCTCGCGATCCAGGACTCAGGACCACAGCAACAGGATCAGCCACGACTCAAGATCCCGGCGTAGATAGACACCAAAGAGAGATGTGGGGAAGCTGTGTTATTGGGAACATGAGAGTACACAGGTACAGACAGAGAGAAGGAAGAAGTAAGGTGTCCCCCGACAGTCTAAGCCTATAGCAGCTAAACTAGGGGCTGAATCTAATCAGCCCTAACTATAAGCTTTATCAAAAAGGAAGGTCTTAAGCGCACTCTTAAAAACAGATAGGCTGTCTGCCGCCCGAACACAAACTGGAAGCTGATTCCACAAAAGTGGAGCTTGATAAGAAAAGGCTCTGGCTCCCATTGTACTTTTAGAGACTCTAGGAACAACCAACAACCCTGCATTCTAGGAACGCAATGCCCTAGTAGGCCAGTAGGGTATAATGAGTTCTTTAAGGTAAGATGGCGCCTGCCCATTAAGGGCTTTGTAGGCGAGAAGAAAAACTTTAAATTCTATCCATTGTAACCTCAGGAGCTCCAACAAGCCGTGTAGGACAGAGAGTGAATACACATGCTATACAGAGAGGCTGTATGAGAAACCAATGTGAGTTTGGAACATTGAACAATGTACATCTATTCTAGTAGACCTCAACAATGGAACTATGATCAGTAGAAATGGCCATGACATGGGACCTTTAAGTAATCACACAACTGTTTTGAGACTGCTTTCTCAAGAATCTTTGAGAGGAACGGAAGATTAGAAATACGTCTATAGTTGGCTGAAACCTCTGGATCGAGGTTGTGCTTTTTAAGAAGCGGTTTTATCACTGCTACTTTGAATGATTGTGGAACATAGCCTGATAATAAAGACATATTCATCATATTTAATAAAGAAGTGCTAATTAATGGAAAAACGTCCTTTAACAGCTTAGTTGGAATCGGGCCTAAGATACACGTTGATGGAAGAGAATCATTGAATTCAATTGTTCAAGGTTTATGGCTGAAAAGCATTCTAGTTGACTATCTAGTGTAATGTTAGAACTTACGTTTCCGGGAGCTGTTGATAACACTACACTGGTCAAAGGCAAGAGGTCATCAACTCCTACACCTCCCCCTCTTCCTGCTAGTCCTCAGTCTTCTTCTAGTGCTGAGAGTCAACACTAACGCAGTCAGGTGTTTATGCTCAGGTGTGTTTGCTCATTGGTTCCTGAGTGTAGCATGTTTAATGGCAGTGCTTTGAAAATGAAATGAACCCCAAAACGTATTCACATTATCGTTGGAGAACTACACACAGACTCTCTGTTGAGGGTTCAAGCCGGACTTACCTGTTCACACACATTGTGGATTTGTTCAGTCTCTCTTTACAGCCCCCCCCCCCCGCAATATGATTATAAGTAATATGGTCTGTGTTCACATTAGCATGCTAACACTCAGAGCTAACCTGTGCTGGAGAGAGCATGTGTGAAGAAGCAGGAAATCAAAAGGAAGTCACCTTGTGGTAAACCTGAGAGAGAAAGTGTTTGAGCTCCATACTGTTTCAGAGAGAATCCTTCATGTGGTTTGGAACATGATATGGAGTTTCATCACGGCAGCATTTAGCTGAGTTTCTGCTTCTCTCTGCAGCATGTGGCTACAAAGGGGGCGTGGCCAGCAGCTACAAAGGGGGCGTGACCAGCAGCTACAAAGGGGGCGTCCAAGTCTGAGTCACCTAGGGAGAGTCGAGTCCGAGTCCAAGTCCGAGTCCGAGTCAGCCAAGGAGTGTCCGAGTCGAGTCAGAGTCATCATGACCTGTGTTCGAGTCTGAGTCACAAGTCTTGATGGGTAACACTTTACAATAAGGTTCACAAAATGTGCTTAGTTACTGAGTAGTGAATAAGGAACGACTAGATAGTTAATTGTTAGTTAATGAAAAGTGACTGCGATTGAAGAACTGATGGTTAGTTACTGGTAAACAGACTGGGGGGTACTGCATTGATCATTCTTTAATGGTTAGTTAATGAGGAGTTACATTACATGTCATTTGTTAGACGCTTTTATCCAAAGCGACTTACATTCAGTTCTGTGGACAATCCCCACAGGAGCACTTTGGGGTGAAGTGTCTCAGGGACACAACGACATGCGGACTGCAGAGGGACTCGAACTTGCTATCCCCTGATTCGAAGTCCAGCACACCACCCACTGAGCCACAGCCGCCTTTGAGTTCCTGAGTGACTGCGATTGAAGCAATGGTCCGCTGCAGCAGGGCACTTTTAAACCTGCCATCTCCGGCTGGCTTGGGTCCCACGCTGGATCGACTGGTGGAGGTGGATCCGACTCACGTGCTACTGCTTAAGTCATCATTACTTACCTTAGCATTACTTAGGCCGTTTGGCTACGGTAAACTCAAGTAACGCATACAAACATAGTAGTTACCCATTACCTAATGATTACCTTACCGTTCCTTAAGCACTTTGTGTCCCCTCAAGCAAAGTAATGCATCAAAAACAGTAGTTACCCATTACCTATCAATCAATCAATCAATCAATCAATCAATCAATGTTTATTTATATAGCCCAATATCACAAATGTTACATGGTCCCTTGACGAACGTAATTTGTGACAAGAGGAATTCAGTGGCGCCTTGATCTTAACCAGCCTCAGACAAAAAACAATTATATAAAAATAATCAGGAATTTCAATTGATAAACAACAGCGTTTGTAACCCTTCTTACCTTTGGTAGGTGACCGATGGGGTAATCAATATCTAGATTCAAGGGATATTGGTAGAGCAGAACTCAATACAGACTTTAGATCCCCCAGCCAGCACAATCACACACACCACAAGGACCGAAACAAATGACATTAGAGTGTCTTGTAATTCTACATCAGCCAGAGTAATTACAATAAGTATATAAAAAGTATCCAGTTATGGATCAACAAAATATTTTCACAAGATCACAAAATCCCAATATATATACAGTGTGAACATGAGGTCAACATGAGGTCAACATGAGGTCAACATTAGGTCAACATTAGGCCCAAGTAAAACAAAACCCTGAGATCTCAATACAAAAAGAATTTCCCAAACAATGTCCTTTTTACATTTTGGGTGGAGCCCTCAAACATTTATCATTTTGAACAAACACTCCTCATAGCCATACACTGCCGGTTATGATCACCATTTGCATAGGCAGAGTGCTCACACATTAATAATAAAATACAGATTTACATTTTTACCACGTCCTACCGTGCTATCCACTTTAATAGATCCACAGAAACGGGAGGATTCCACCGCAGCGATGGTGCTGCGGGAGGACTGACGCCGCTCCAGGACGTCAGAGAGAACTTTGTGTGCAGATCAGTTACAATCTCATCTCAATCAATCAACAAACAGCTCAAATAAATCAACATTAGTTCACATTAGCTCACAAGGCTTCCTGTGTGACAAGTGGTCACAAAGTACGTCACATCTAGCTTAGCCGCATTAGCTTAGCTGCATTAGCTTAGCCGCATTAGCTTAGCCGCTAACGAGATTAACATTACAACATTCATATTCTATTCATAGAATATATCTATTATCTCCTATTCTAGCCTTCATAACCTCATTCAACACAATTCAAACTATTTTAAGGATACATATCATGCAGTGGAGTAGCAAAAACCGATATGTTAGCAGGCTACGTTATGCTAATTTTAGCTGACTCACCAGGTCAATGCTAACAGAGGAGGAGGAATAACGTCCACTCTTTCCATGTTTCCTTATCTCCCGCTATTCTACAGTCACGCAGGTCTGGTTATTTGCACACGGCACGTCTGTCTCTGCTGTCAGTGTGGCGTTCAGGGAACATATGTAAATTAGTCAACAGCATCATAACCTGGGTTACACGTTCTTTTACAATTAAAAAATAATCACTTCCCTTCTCAAAAAATAAGAGAAAAACAAATTAATAATAAAAACTCTGGAAAACAAATTAAAAAGTAGGACAATAATTATTACTAATTTCATTGAAATAAAGTTCAAGTGGAATGTTTCTCAAGCACAAATAACAATGCACAACTAAAAAGAAAGTTTGGGAGGTGGGACAGGAGTTCTTCAATCAAAGGAACTCCTCATTCACTAACCATTAACTATCTAGTCGTTCATTATTCACTACTCAGTAACTAAGCACATTTTGTGTACCTTATTGTAAAGTGTTACTATATTTAAAATTAGTTATCTTTTAGAGAAGTGATTATATTTGTATGCCAATATTTTCCTATGGTAAAGTTTTCGTTTTGCACTTTTATTTTGATAGTAATAAGATCGGGACTCTTATTTTGAAGGAACTTTTACCGGAAGTCAATGGACAACGGAGCAGTGTAAACACATATGTATAATGACGGATAGATGACGAATAAATGAACATATACTAAATAGTTGCATTGGGTTGTTAGCACCTGGCTGATAAGGGCACAAGCTCTTACGTTGCTAATGAAAGCAAGGGTGATCAATAAACAGATACCATCAGTTAGAGAGTCTGACCATCATTCAGCCGGGGACGCTACAATTATTATAGTGAATGTTTAAATGATATCAATAAAGATTGAGCCCCAGAAAGCACATGGCTACTTAGCATGCAACATGACGTCATTCTGCATGTTAAGTAGCCGTGTGCTTTCGTGTTATCGGCTGAATCTTTATGTATTGATTAGATCACGTTCCTCTGATGATCGTGTTCAGCCTATATGTCTGAACTCCATCCTTAGAGTAATGTGTTACGGAGCCTTCTCTTCTATATTGTTTCCACATAGAGCATGTTGCTGCTCTTTCCCAATGTGGAAGCAGAATGTGTGAAAGCATACAGCACGATGCGGGGTGTGTCTCTAGACATCTTTAGACTGGAATAGCGGGGCCCAGTACGTGAACTCGCCTCGCAGGTGCACAGCTGGGACAGAGTACATCTGACTCCAGACAAAACTTGCTCGAGTCCGAGTCGGAGCGTCAATGTACAAGTCGAGTCTGAGTCATCGTGGCCGAAAAATTCACGAGTCCGAGTCCGAGTCATCGTGTGCGAGAATTCACGAGTCAGTCATCGCGCGCGAGAATTCACAAGTCCGAGTTCGAGTCCGAGTCGAGTCACGAGTCTCGAAAATCGGCACTCAAGTCTGAGTCCAGGACTCGAGTGCTTCCTCATGTGTTTCTTTAATCTACATCTCACTGTAAATGGTTTCTTACAACTGAGCAGCTGTATGGTTTCTCTCCTGTATGAACTGTCATGTGTCTATTTAAACTACTACGCTGTGTAAATGATTTCTCACAGACTGAGCAGCCATATGGTTTCTCTCCTGTATGAACTCTCATGTGAATTGTTACATTTCCCTTTAGTATAAAATATTTCTTACAGACTGAGCAGCTGTATAGTTTCTCTCTAGTGTGCTCTCTCATGTGTCTATTGAAAGTTTTTCCCTGTTTAAATGATTTCTCACAGACTGAGCAGCTGTATGGTTTCTCTTCTGTATGAACTGTCATGTGACTCTTTAACTGACCTCTCACTGGAAATGATTTCTCACAGACTGAACAGCTGAAGAGTTTCTCTCCAGTATGAACTGCCATGTGGTACTTTAAATTAGATATCCTTGTAAAAGACTTCTTACAGACTGAGCAGCTGAATGGTTTCGCTCTAAAGCGCTTCTCTCCAGCACTACACCTTGAATCACTGACAGGGTTTTGTTTATTTTCCCGAGAGTTTGAACCTGACTGAGGTTCTCCGGTCTCACTCCAATCAGCACTGTCTTCAGTGTCTTCAGAAGAGTCTCCAGGGTTGTCCTCAGTCTCAGGTTCAGAAGAGTCTCCAGGGTTGTCCTCAGTCTCAGGTTCAGAAGAGTCTCCAGGGTTGTCCTCAGTCTCAGGTTCAGAAGAGTCTCCAGGGTTGTCCTCAGTCTCTGGTTGTAAGTGTCTCTCTGGATCTGAGCTCCTGGCTGGTTCTGGTCCTCCACAGTCCTCTCCATCAGCTTCTGTTTCCAGGTGTTCAGTTTGTCTTTGATGAAGCTGAGAGGACTGAGGTTTCTCTTCATCATCTTCACTCTTCACAGGGACAGGAGTGAAGATGAACTCAATGATATCAGCCTCCTCCAGCCCTTGAAGCTGCTCTCCCTCCTGACTGATCCAGAGTTCCTCCTGTTCCTCTTTAATGTGTGGGGGGGGCTCTGGGTCCTCCTGGTCCAGACTGGAGCTCCACTCCTGCTGCTCAGGGGGAACCTCTTCTTTAACCAGCAGCTGCTGGACGTCTGCAGGAAACAGGAAGCACAGTCAGAAAAACTGTGAAACTAATCACCTTTACAAGTTGAGTAGTTTTGCAGCCCTAATCAATGCCTTTGGTGTAACTACAGCTCAGACTGAGAGGCTCTGATAACTACAGCTCAGACTGAGAGGCTCTGATAACTACAGCTCAGACTGAGAGGCTCTGATAACTACAGCTCAGACTGAGAGGCTCTGATAACTACAGCTCAGACTGAGAGGCTCTGATAACTACAGCTCAGACTGAGAGGCTCTGATAACTACAGCTCAGACTGAGAGGCTCTGATAACTACAGCTCAGACTGAGAGGCTCTGATAACTACAGCTCAGAGTGAGAGGCTCTGATAACTACAGCTCAGACTGAGAGGCTCTGATAACTACAGCTCAGACTGAGAGGCTCTGATAACTACAGCTCAGACTGAGAGGCTCTGATAACTACAGCTCAGACTGAGAGGCTCTGATAACTACAGCTCAGAGTGAGAGGCTCTGATAACTACAGCTCAGACTGAGAGGCTCTGATAACTACAGCTCAGACTGAGAGGCTCCGATAACTACAGCTCAGACTGAGAGGCTCTGATAACTACAGCTCAGAGTGAGAGGCTCTGATAACTACAGCTCAGACTGAGAGGCTCTGATAACTACAGCTCAGACTGAGAGGCTGATAACTACAGCTCAGACTGAGAGGCTGATAACTACAGCTCAGACTGAGAGGCTGATAACTACAGCTCAGACTGAGAGGCTGATAACTACAGCTCAGACTGAGAGGCTCTGATAACTACAGCTCAGACTGAGAGGCTCTGATAACTACAGCTCAGACTGAGAGGCTCTGATAACTACAGTTCAGTGGGTCTCAAACGGTTTGGTCAACATTAAAGTAAACAAACATTTCCAAAGCACACATTGTTAATGTTATTATAGTAATACAAAAACAACAATATAAATAATAACAGGTGGTAAATCATTCCAGTGTAGGACAGTAAAGCTAAAATATAGTTTAAAAGGTGAGTGATGAGTAAAGTATGCATACAGAAGAAGGAAGCATGCTGAATATGTGAAATCAGAATCAGAATACCTGTATTAGTCCCACAGAGGGGACATGTACGTTGTTACAGCAGAAAAGAGCCACAGACAGCTTAATGTGACAGATGAAGAGTTTGGTTCCAAAACGCGATAAACGCCACTTTTGAAAAAATGAGTTCCCGCCAAAATCAGTATTGTATTTCGTGGGTATTGAAAAGTCAATATTACATTTTATGCAAAAACGCGATATCCGCCGTGTTATTCTGTCCTGTTTCTTCCTTTCTTTCCAGACCGCGACAAACGCCAGTCTCCCTTCTCTACAGAATGCGATACATCCGCTCAACCAATCACAGCGCACCATTCAATGCAGCTCAACCAATCACAGCGCACCATTCAATGCAGCTCAACCAATCACAGCGCACCATTCCACGCAGTGTAAACAGTAATGGCGGCGCCCTGAATGCACCCGGCATCCTACCACTCGTCATCTACTTTGAGACCAACAAACAATGAAACATGAATCATTTTGACGACATCGATGAACCTGTGGTGGTTTCTGCGCTGGGGAAGAAACGCAAGCCATCGAAATGTAATCATATACGTGAGGAGATTAAGAAAATGAGGCTGTCGCTTGTTCTCATACGAAAGCAAACGTCTGTCACGCAGACACATTGACCCCAGGGGATCTATTAAAAAACCTTCAGTCTTTTTACTCTGGATCGACGGAAATCGAGCAGGATCGAGTCATTTTGCAGCGGATCAAGGTCAAAGAAGTTCAGCGGAGACGTCCAAAGGTTAACAGCGATATGCAGAAGGACAGGGAGGTCACTAACGAATATCATTTGCTGACCGAAGATCGTCCGACAAAAAATCCTGTCTGCAACGCCACCTTTTGCAGCGTACTGGGTGAGTTTAATTTAGATTAACAAATGATATTATTCATACAGGACTGCCTGCTCTTAAAACGCGTGGATCATTAAACTATGTTGATGTGATAGACCAGTGGTTCTCAACTGGTCAGGCCTCGGGACCCACCTTTTCCTTTGTCAATAAATCGCGACCTGAAATCTGAACCACTCAAATCTATTCAACAAAAATGTGCCTACATAGCATAACTGTCAGTTGCAGCCGTAACATTATTATTGGTTTAACTACTAACAGTATATTTTTAAAACATTTGAAAATGACCATCTTGAACAGCTACAACATTAAACTAGGCAGATTGTGGACAGTAACAAAGTACATTTACTTAAGTACTGTACTGCTCCACTCCCATTCAGGCAAAGAGTGTTTCGCTAAGCTGAACAGCCAATCAGAGTGCTTTCTTTGGCCGACGGCCTCCCGATTCAAAATGTCGAATCGGCAGCGGAAGGTGTCGGCACGGCCGAAAAGACACGACGGTGCGGGACACACCAATCTGAGTAGGGCGACAGGACGCTAATCGACGGCCAGACATCTATCGACGGCCGAAATCGGCCCGGTGTGTCGCGGCCTTGATGCATTGCTTGGACACAAATGTCCTCGCCTAGTTGGCTGGTCATCTGCCATTGCTATTTGATAAATAAGCCGACTGCAAGTTGAATTCATGAAGAAAAGTAGGCAGTAGCCTAAGTAGGTACGTACACACACAATACATAGGCTACATAAATAGCACTACATCGGCTATAGGCTTGCATTTAAAATGTATGAATAACTGCCATTTAGTTGTCGATGCTGCTTCATCACAAATGCCCTTGTTGGCCATGTCATCTGTCATTGTGAATGGATACTGTGAATGAATAGGTTACGCAATGAATTAATTAATTAATGTAGATAGATATATAAATATATAGATAAATACATACATACAAATAAATGTCATGTTTCTGTCATTGCAGGTATTGGCAAGGATCGTGTGTCTCGAGTGGCAAGGTATTATGCACTCAACGTTAGACATGATGCAGAATGTGATACTCCCTAAAGCGCCATAGGTCAGGCATCCTGTTCCAGACAGCTCGACATGCATCTCTCTCTCGTTGTTATTCACCATGGGACAGGAAGTAAGCAAGCAGTGGATCATGTTCACCTGTCCACATGGATGGAGCATGGAAATAGAAAAGGTAGCAATATGACTGCTCCAGCTCTGGACCACTGGTCACGTCAACAGTTGAGTGGTGCTCTTCGCCGCGCTCAGAGGCTGCGATTGTTCAGCGATTCTTCTTTTGGTCAGAACAAAAGTATGAACCTGCTGTCCATGCTGTCTTCCTTTATGAAGGAGGCCTTTCCAAGAGTCAGTGCTGAGTATGTGTTTCCTATAAGGGGGGGGGGGGCTTTCTGCCCGTGGGTCGTGTGTTTGGGACGATTGAGCAACAGGTTCCAAAGAAGGATACCATTCTTCAGGGTTCCTGCAGGTTTCGCCTACTCAAATTTAAGACTTTTTAAGACCTTTTTAAGACCACTTTGAATAGAATTTAAGACCTATTTCACGGCAAGAAAGTATGAAGGAAAATTGCTATGAAAGAAGAAATACGTCCCATAATTACTTACAAAGTAAATGTAAAGGCATAACAGTACAGAACTGTGTTAGCGTGTTAGACAAAAAGTGTATGTGTGTGTGTGTCTGTGTGTGCGTGCGTGCGTGCGTGCATGTGTGTTAGGGGTGTGCAATTAATCGTATTTTAATCGCAATTACGATTTTGGCCTGCCACAATTACGAAATTATTTTGCTTTGCTAGGTTGTGACAGTGCACTACAACATATTTGATCTAATTAATTTTAGTCTAATTTATTTTTATTTATCATATTTATACATGTTTAATAGCTTGTGGAAGTGCGCTCCAAAATATTTGTTGATCTTGTTTATTGGTATTTATTATTTTGATATTATTTATTTAAATGTATAATTTATTTAATTTATTTTTGTATTGGTTTTGCAGTTGAATTATAGGTTCAGGGTAATCAACAGTTAAAAAGATACTGTTCAAATTATTATTTGTTTTAAAGTTCAATAAATGGATGTTTTCAAAGTCAATGAATAATCGTATTTAATAATCTTGATATCAATTATTGACCAAAATAATCGTGATTATGATTTTTGCCATAATCGCACAGCCCTAGTGTGTGTGAGAGAGAGAGAGAGAGAGAGAGAGAGAGAGAGAGAGAGAGAGAGAGAGAGAGAGAGAGAGAGAGAGAGAGAGAGAGAGAGAGAGACAAGAGCTATATTCAGAGCTCTGCTGCCTTGGCTACAATCTTTCATCGTTGCTGTTGTATGATCGGTGTTTAGCTACGGTATTTAGCGTCTACAGCACCTCCGCTTTTAGGGTTGACGTACACCCAAACGTCGCCCAGAGGTCCGCCGGTGTTGTTGCAGGAGCTGCTGCACTAGCTAACGCTACATTAGCATACGCTACTTTCTTTTGCAAAAGGTGCAGCAGGCTTCAAACACGTTCCCCTCCACTGGTTTCAACCAAGCACTAAATTCGATGTTTTCCAACCAAATACGGTTGAACTTACACTTCCCCATATTTATTTTTAAGTAGATTCTAAGATACATGAGTTTCTGACTGCCGCTAGCTGAAGCTTGCTAGCTGGGTGTTCTCCAATAAGGGGCCGGGGGAAACAAAGTTAGTGATTACTGGTTCCATGTTGATTTATTTCAATACAGATTGTTGGGGGGAACTGAAAGGCTCTCACCGTACTGGTTACTTTGCAGCCCGGACATTTCCCCCAAAACACATTTAGACGCGATCTCAACACAGAAGTACCTTTCAAATCCCATCATTTTTAAGACCTTCTAAATCATATTTAAGACCTTTCTTATTTTTTTGGTCATATTTAAGACCTTTTTAAGGCCTTAAATTCAGATTATCAAATTTAAGACTTTTTAAGACTTTTTAAGACCCCGCGGGAACCCTGATTCTTATGCCAGAGGAATAAGATCAGCTTTTGGGCAGTCATGGAAATGAACACGTCTTTGGGCAAGACTGGGAGGCTTATGATCTCAAGACAGAAACACAGGGGGGGGGGTCTACTAGGGGCTGTGCTGGTTGTATAGTCTGTGTTGTAGTGTGTGTGTAGTGTGTGTGTGTGTAGTGTGTGTGTGTGTGTGTGTGTGTGTGTGTGTGTGTGTGTGTGTGTGTGTGTGTGTGTGTGTGTGTGTGTGTGTGTGTGTGTGTGTGTGTGTGTAAAAGTGTAGGAAGTGAACAGCAGCAGAGAGAGAGAGAGAGGGGACAGACCTGCTCTGTGGACCTGGAGCTGAGGCTGGAGCACCGCGGACAGCAGGGGGCGCTCCTGTGACACAGAGAGAGAGAGAGGTCTTTGAATATAGGCTTACTGTACTGTATATACACAGGAGAGTCAAGTAAGAACGAGACAGCTCACTCTTGTTTACTAAATCACCACTTCCGGTGTCTCTCACTCCATACCTGCCAACCCTACCGATTTGGGCGGTAGTCTACCGCTTTTGACATGTTTCTACCGCCTACCGATTTAGCTGACTCTCCCTACCGATTTTCAATCTTCCCAAACTATAACAAATAAAAATGACACTACATAGACACTGGACTCGACTTTTGGCGGACACCGTTTGCAGCGTGTCTGTGATCCCATCATACAAACAGTCCTCTGTGTTTCAGTCGATCGCGAGATGTGTCTAAAAATAGAACGACAATATTCTGTTTTATCGTTAATGTCCTATAACATAATCTTCCTGTTCCAGAATAATGCACTTGAACGCATCAAAGCTTTGTGATTTATCGGGGCGTGGCTGGTAGGCCATTGCACTAGTTTGCTGTGCAGTCCGCACACACAAGACCACAATTATGGCAGAAGCAAAAGAGCCCAAAATATATAATTTTCACTCCGAGTGGGAGGATGATTATTTTTGTATCTATTCCAATTCAAAGTCCATCTGTCTCATCTGCAATGCGAGCGTGGCTTTATCGAAGAAGGGTAATTTAGGAGCGGCATTTCAAAACAGTGCACAAACGCTACGAGACGGAATTCCCTCCTAATTCTGCCCTACGCTCCCAAAAGGTGAGGGACCTGAAAGGACAGCTCAATGCACAGCAGTCCATCTTCACCAGGCCCAACAACAAGAGCAAGGCTGCTACCATAGCATCTTATCGTGTCAGGCCCAACAGAGCAAGGCTGCTACCATAGCGTCTTATCGTGCCAGGCCCAACAACAAGAGCAAGGCTGCTAGCATAGCATCTCATCGTGTCAGGCCCAACAACAAGAGCAAGGCTGCTACCATAGCATCTTATCGTGTCAGGCCCAACAACAAGAGCAAGGCTGCTACCATAGCATCTCATCGTGTCAGGCCCAACAACAAGAGCAAGGCTGCTAGCATAGCATCTCATCGTGTCAGGCCCAACAACAAGAGCAAGGCTGCTAGCATAGCATCTCATCGTGTCACGTTCTTGCAAAACACATGAAGTCTTTCAAAGACGGCGAAGTTGTGAAAGAAGCATTCCTGGAGGCTGCCGACGCGCTTTTTGGGGACAGTAAAAATAACAGTAGCATTTCAACAGGTTTTTGATATAATAAAAACTCAAGTTAGATACCGTTATTAATCAGCTGTAAGTTTGAGTTGGTTTGAACTTATTCATTATAATTATGGTACAAAATGGTATAAGAATGCAAACTTTAAGATCTGTTCTGTTTAAATTGATTATAGTCTATTATCAATTCAGGTTAAGAAACTAGTGTTGCTTGCATCCTATTTTAAAGGCATTTCTTTTTATACTCTACTAAAATGCAAAAAAAAGAAAAGGGTTTGATTCTATTAATTTAGTCTTTTTTATTGCACTCTGGCAGCAGATTCCTGTGTAGCTTCAGATCTGAGTTGTCTTATTAGTAAAACTAATTTATACTTTTGTAGCAACACTATTTTTATATAATGACAAAGAAAGGGTTCAGAGTCTTTTCTTTTTTTCCTGTGTCATATGTGGCAGCACTGTTCAATGTTTCTTGAAAACATGACCCACTGTGTGACGTGTGAATAAACTCCAACTCTGTATCAACAACACTGTTGTGTAACTTCAGTTAAATACTTGTGTGTGTGTAGATTAGAAAGAGGTAAGATAAAGGATCTGCAGTATTTTATGAAGTATTAATCGTACAAAGTCAGTTTTATACAAGTAGAAGTGTGTATTTACCTGGTAGTAGGCTGTCAGTAATGGCTACGCCTCTCTATTTGGACTGGTAGATCTCGGCAGACTGGCCACTTTAAAAGTAGCTCTCGGTTCAAAAAAGGTTGGGACCCCTTGATCTACACTGTCAAGGTTCAAGGTTCAAGGTTCTTTATTGTCAAACTAACACAGCTACAGAGTAATTATGTCGTTGAAAATCTTATGTCACAGGCTTCTCCAACAATGCAACTGAAAGAGGACCAGAAACACATTAAAAATATAATAAAATGTGGAGACTTTGGGATATTTATCTCCCATTCTTTTACTTTTCGGGCATTTTACAGACCAAACATGTCGTTGATGTCACTGTTTACCAAACTACCTCTTTTTCTGAAAAATGCATAAAATGATGCAATATATGTTAAATACATGGTTTATACATGTAATTACTGGGGTTCCATTTCTTCTGATTACCTAATTTGGGCGTGCACATTTGCCGCGCGCAAACCTACCTCTTTTGGATTTGGAAAGGTTGGCATGTATGTCACTCTAACGTGTTACCAATGTGACTACCTGATTTGCATCTCTGCCCGATTTGCATTGCGCATGCGCGAGTCTTAAACTTAAACGGGTGCCCGATTTATATATATATATAAATATATATATATATATATAAATCCAAAGCTGGTAAAGACCTTTCAAATGTACAATAATTGTCATATAAGAAAAGTACTGATCTGATAACAGAGATTTGTTCAACTTTTTTATGGAAAATCTTTTATGTAATTGTATTTTATTTGAAATAAAAGACATTCACAGTTAATGTAATTAGATATAAATGATTAATGCCATACATTCACAGTAAATCATTCTTCAGTATGATAGCTGTCAAATCCATTTCTCACTTACTCTAAGAATATACTGAACCCAATAAAAGGATCAATAAAAGGATCAATAATAGTGAAGTCACGTTGTAATAACAATAACTAATCTCTCGTTCAGATTCATGTTGTCGTTTTTATTTTTGTTTTCTTGTTTTGCTTTGCGAAACGCCACTGTGTCAAATGTCCTATTTGGGTTGCCGTATGTAGCTGTCCAAAATGGCGGACCATCTCGAGCTTGCGCAATGCAAATCGGGTACTCACAACCAGCTAGCATGCTAAGCTAGCTTCTACAGTCCGAGGTAAACAGAAGAAAGAGGTTCTCACACACACACACACACACACACACACACACACACACACACACACACACACACACACACACACACACACACACACACACACACACACACACACACACACACACACACACACACACACACACACACACACAATGGTTAGAGCTCACACACACACACGCGCGCGATGATCAGAGCTCACACACACCATGGATCAGCTGGAGCTCACACGCTTTCTCAGGAACACAAAAAGAGACGACAAGACGCAAAATGGTTCCGAGAGGGGACCACTTCCGGTTTTGGGACTTCAAAACAAAAGCACGAAGCATTTCCCAAGGCATGCCTTTCTTCTTCTTCTTCTTCTTTTCTTTAATGGCGAATCACTTCCACTTGGAGCATATATCGCCACCTACTGTTGATTTATTAAATGTTTATACTAAATCTTTGTCCTCAGACCAGTGCTTTTGAAGAATTTGAAGATCAGCTTGTTTGCTTCATTTCTTGATTTACTTTCGTATATTGACTTGAAATCCATGTCCTTGACGTTGAGTTGTTCCAGTGCAGTTTTCAGAATGAGTCTTTGTCTGTTATAATCCGTGCAGCTAAAAAATACATGATGTATTGTCTCTGGTTGTTGGCAACCATCACAATTGCCATTTGGATGTTTTCCAATCAGATGCAGTGATGAGTTTAATCCAGAGTGACCCAATGTGATCCTGCTGTTAATGCTCTCTTCTACTACTCCCCCAAGTGCTTCCCGTTCCTACTTCCCTTTGTATCTGGTATGTCTTCCTTTGGTGCTACTGTCCCATCGCTTTTGCCATTGTTGCTTGATAACAACTTTTGTAACAGATGTTACTTCTGCTCTACTGATGGGTAATATAATATCAATGTGCTTTGCTTTCAAACCACATTTTGCCAGTTGATCCACTTCCTCATTCCCTCTAATACCCACATGCGCTGGAACCCACACAAACTGAACAATTCCCAGATGAACTACCCTAAACATGTGTAAAATTTCATGTAAAATATCCTGAGGACATTCTGAAGAGAAGTTGTTTATACTCTCCAGAGCTGGAGTCAGAGCAAATGACCACTCTCATTGGCTGCACTTCCTCTACCCTCTGAAGTGCTAGTGAGATAGCCATCATCTCTACTGAGTACACTGCCATGTGATCACTCGCTCGCTTTCCCACTTTGACCTTTAACTCAGGAACATCAAATGCACAACTAGTTTGACCATTTTCTGGATTTTTGGATCCATCAGTAAATATGTGTATAAAGTGCCCATATTGTTCATGTAGAACAGTATTCATGTAGAACAGTGTTCATGTAGAACAGTATTCATGTAGAACAGTATTCATGTAGAACAGTATTCATGTAGAACAGTGTTCATGTAGAACAGTGTTCATGTAGAACAGTGTTCATGTAGAACAGTGTTCGTGTAGAACAGTATTCATGTAGAACAGTGTTCGTGTAGAACAGTATTCATGTAGAACAGTGTTCGTGTAGAACAGTATTCATGTAGAACAGTGTTCACATACGCCTGTACATTGATTTTGTTTTTCATTGAATGTAACCTTTTCAATAAAGATAAATCTATTATAGGTTGAGGTAGCAACCATGGTGGAACAGCTGATAACAACACCGTCTGACTAATATTCCATTCTTTAACTTTGAATTCCTTACATAATTCAGAAACACAAACACAAAAACTTTATTTTTTAATTGTGTTACTTTCCCAACTTGTTTGTACAGTTTGTTTAGTAGGGTGAGTATCTTCATGGCCCTGTAGATTTGCCCAGTAATTAACAATTAACTGTTTTCTCCTCAAAAAAATTGGTATTTCTCCGACCTCTACCTGAAGTGCCGACCCTGGTGTAGATCTGACTGCCCCCCCAGGCAGTCACCAGAGAACTCGCCAACACCGACACCGGCAGTTCCATCGACGAGTTCTCCTGCGTCTTGGCCGTGTGTCGCACTGGAAATCACCGCAAAGACTTCAGCCGAGCACGTACGAACTGCGCATGCGTGAGTGGCAATAACTCTCCTTACCCGCAGGCGGCGGTAGTGTGTATTCGTCATTCAAAATAGGCAACAACCGGAAGACAGAGAAGAAGAACAGACTGATATAAACAAACAAATAGCGTGTGCGTTCCATTTTCACTCTCGTCCATCGAAAACATGTTTTAGAATATAAAAATACATGAATGATGAAATGAGCACAAAGTGCAGACATACTATAAAATCACAGTTAATAGACCTGCATCTGATGATCGCAGTGTTCTGGAGGGTGTGTCGTTTATTGAGTCAGCAATGTAGTAATGGCCACTTCTTGCTAAATTTACGATGAGATGAAAAACCGGACTTGACCAAACAAATCACGGAGCTCTCAGCATAGGACAGCCGGGGACGCTCCCGCCGATATCAGAGATGTCCCTGCTATGTGTGGGAGGTAAGAGGGGACATTTAAGGGCTATGTTTGATGTCTTTAAGTATCACCTGCTGGGGTTTAGCTGCTGTCCTGTGCCTTAAATCCTTTGTTTACGTCCCTCACTTCCGTTTCGCTTCTCATTTGCTAGCTGAACAGCTGATCAGAGTGGTTTCTTGGCCCGATAGCTTGTGTCCGTCACCCGGCCGATTCAACATGTTGAATCGGCCGGGTGACGACCGTGAAAGGCCAAATAAGGCGTGTCACGGCCGAGGGTTCGGGACACACCAAATTGACTTTGGGCGACAAGGAACCCGTTGTCGCCAAACAACGCAAGACGGCCGATATCGGCCTGGTGTGTCAGGGCCTTTAGTCCGTACTCTATAGCTGATCTAATTAATGCTGTGTATACGTTCCTCAAAGCAGCTTTATCAGCCCCCCACTTAGTGCCTGCCAAGCACCTCATAACATTTAAAACCCTTTTACATTTATCTACTACTTTATCAATGTGAGTACTCCATGTGACTCTCTCCTCCAACCATATTCCCAGAAACTTAAATGTCTTCACTTTCGTTAGTTCTTGTCCATAAAGTTTTACCCTAACCTCCTCACCTATCCTTTTCCTCGTAACAAATAAAGTTTCAGTTTTTTCCACCGACAATCTAAACCCCCGTGTCAGAGACCAGCTTTCAATCTCCGTAATGGCTTCCTGAATCTTACCTACAATATAATTTACATTTCTGCCCCTTTTCCAAATAGCTCCATCATCTGCAAAAAGTGACTTACCGATATCAGATCCTACTTGTGTTTATATATATCATTGATCATGATCGAGACCAAAAGAGGACTGATGACACTCCATTCTCAACTTCATGCCTTCGAGAATATGAACTGCCAACTCGGACTCTGATGGCACGGCCAAACGAAACATCCATAATCCAATTATATGCGTTACCTCCCATGATGTCCAGTTGTATGAATAATCCTTCCTTCCACATCATATCGTAAGCTTTTTCCACATCAAAGAATACAGCTACAACACACTCCTTGTTCGCTTGGGCTTTCCTGACTTCAGACTCCAGGCACAGCAGGGGGTCTAAAGTTCTCCGCCCTCTTCTGAACCCACTCTGATAAGGAGTCATTAGCTCATTCTTTTCAACGTAGTATGTCAGCCTTTCTGTTATCATTCTTTCCATAACTTTACACACGTGTCAGAGCTATAGGTCTGTACCTGCCTGACTGGTTGGATCTTTCCCAGGTTTTCTGATAGGAATAATGACAGACTCTTTCCATATTATTGGCAGCTTCCCTTTCTCCCAGATCTTATTATACATCTCCAGCAGCTTTCCTAAAATCACTTCATTTGGTCAACATTATATAACATACATGATCTTTCCCAGGAGCAGTCATTCTACACTTACTGAGTGCTCTTCTCAACTCTTGAATAGAAAAAGGTACATTTACAACACTCTGCGACGAATGTCTTTCTTCATATACATTAGGATGCTCATCTAACACTTCCTGCCTCCTGATCTTACACACATCCTTTACTCAGGTAGAAGTACACACATCCTTTACTCAGGTAGGAGTACACACATCCTTTACTCAGGTAGGAGTACACACTTCCTTTACTCAGGTAGGAGTACACACATCCTTTACTCAGGTAGGAGTACACACATCCTTTACTCAGGTAGGAGTACACACATCCTTTACTCAGGTAGGAGTACACACTTCCTGCCTCCTGATCTTACACACATCCTTTACTCAGGTAGGAGTACACACATCCTTTACTCAGGTAGGAGTACACACATCCTTTACTCAGGTAGGAGTACACACATCCTTTACTCAGGTAGGAGTACACACATCCTTTACTCAGATAGGAGTACACACATCCTTTACTCAGGTAGGAGTACACACATCCTTTACTCAGGTAGGAGTACACACATCCTTTACTCAGGTAGGAGTACACACATCCTTTACTCAGGTAGGAGTACACACATCCTTTACTCAGGTAGGAGTACACACTTCCTGCCTCCTGATCTTACACACATCCTTTACTCAGGTAGGAGTACACACATCCTTTACTCAGGTAGGAGTACACACTTCCTTTACTCAGGTAGGAGTACACACTTCCTTTACTCAGGTAGGAGTACACACTTCCTTTACTCAGGTAGGAGTACACACTTCCTTTACTCAGGTAGGAGTACACACTTCCTTTACTCAGGTAGGAGTACACACTTCCTTTACTCAGGTAGGAGTACACACTTCCTTTACTCAGGTAGGAGTACACACTTCCTTTACTCAGGTAGGAGTACACACTTCCTTTACTCAGGTAGGAGTACACACTTCCTTTACTCAGGTAGGAGTACACACTTCCTTTACTCAGGTAGGAGTACACACTTCCTTTACTCAGGTAGGAGTACACACTTCCTTTACTCAGGTAGGAGTACACACTTCCTTTACTCAGGTAGGAGTACACACTTCCTTTACTCAGGTAGGAGTACACACTTCCTTTACTCAGGTAGGAGTACACACATCCTTTACTCAGGTAGGAGTACACACATCCTTTACTCAGGTAGAAGTACACACTTCCTTTACTCAGGTAGGAGTACACACATCCTTTACTCAGGTAGGAGTACACACTTCCTGTCTCCTGATTTTACCTTCTTCTGTCAAATTTCCAGAAGAATGAACTTTGACAACATGTGTAGCTAGAATGTGTGCCTTCTCCATCCATAGCACCTCCTTCTCCATCCATAGCACCTCCTTCTCCATCCATAGCACCTCCTTCTCCATAGCACCTCCCCTCCAGTCTCTAACACTGGCAGGTTACTCTGCTGTCTCCTCATC